GAGGGAGGTGATGCTACTATGGACACAGAGATGTCCAAGATCACATAGGGAGTCCTCTTTACTTTTATCCTTCCTTATTCTTATTTTCATAAGCACTGGGGACAATGCTTACTTTTATTCGGGGGAGGGGGAGGGGGAGTTTATTTGATATTTGGATGATTTGATATTTTGTTTGTAATAACTAATAACATTTTCCTTTTTCTTTTTATTATGTACAATTCTTCTCTCTCTCTATTGATGTATATATTTTCTCTTTTCCTCTCTCATTTTGTATATTCATTTATGCTTTTAATAGCTTTCTTTGTAGCTTCTTTATTTTGTTTATTCCTCTCTCATCTTATGATTTTATTATGTCAATGTTTAATTTAATAGCTTCTTGTTTAATCTAATAGTTTCTTTATAATCTAGTAGTTTCTTTTTATGTTTAAGTGGACAATAAGCCTTTAATTTTTTTAATGCTACGGTTCTTTCCAAAGGTAGTTTTTGTGTGAACCGGGTGACTCTTCCCAACGATGGATGGCGTGATGACCTTCTTAAGGGATTGAATCCGTTTTTGGTGTTTAGGTAATAATAGTAGTAATAATGAATACAAAGACCTAATTGAGTCAGAGTCAAACATGCTTCACTTGGTACCAACACACTTAACTACATGCTTATGATTAAAAAAAGTTCTTGGAAAGAAATAGTTCTAGTTAGTGACCTTCTGACTCTTGTGTTAACTTAAGCAATCATCGAGTGGTTTAGTCGAATCATTAGTGATTTTTAATCTTGAATATGGTTGTTGTGGGCCCTCGATGCTATCCTCTTTAACAATCCAGCTGTGTGAGAGGTGAGATGTTTTTGTTGCAAGTCCAAGTACCCATGCGAACGGTCTAGTAATTGCCTCGAATGTGTTTCTAGAAATTTTAAGTTTTTCTTGGCTTGAGAAGTGATTGTAGGCTCTCCTCTTGAAATTTTCCATGTCCCACCGATGTTGTTATCCTTAGTCAACCCATTTGAGCCTAAAATCTTTCTCATTTGATAACCATGTTACAAGCCTTTACCCGTTTTGTAGTGACCCTCTCTTGGAACCCGAGCTTTCCTTAACACTCTTGAGAAACAATTGGCTAAAACATAAGTTTGGGGGAGAGGCGGGGATTGAAAAAGGTATCAAGACACAAAAAGAGAAAAGAAAAAGCAAGAAAGAACAAAAAGAAAAATGCAAAAAAAAAATGAATAAGTTGAAGAGTTGAAGGGATTTAAAGAAAAGTAACGATGCAAAGCATGGAAAAAAGAGGAGAAAATGAATATCATGACCAAGAAAGAGTGATATTAAGTCTCTCTAGTTCCCATAAGGAAAAAGAAAATGCCTCAAAGAGACTGCAAAACATGAGCTGAAAAGAGAAAATGGAGCGCTTAAGAAAAGATGAACCCGTTCTATTCCAACATATCCCACCTTAGTCCAAAAGCCTTCATTGCATTCCGAAAAAGCCCTACGTGATTTCAAGCCGAGTGAAGTTACATTAGTGGTGATATACATGAGGGGAAAGCATATGATACTTAGAGTCGTACTTGTGGAATTCTTTTGAGAGAGCTGAGCGAACTTTTCACAAATATTTGAATTGAGTGCTATATTCTTAAGTGAGATATGCTAATGGAGAGTAGAGGAGGAGGAGTTTGGGCTCCACAATGACCTATATGAAAAAGCAAGCTTCCTTGATAAATAAAGTCAACTCTTGATGCTCAAGTGTCACATTAAAACTACTTGTGCTTAAAAGTTCAAATCATTTCCTTGTTGATAATTCATAAGTGTTGTGGGTAATTGTTGATCCCAATTGATGTGTGATTGATGCATCTTTTATTAGCTGGAATAGCTCTTAACTTGGAGGTGGGAATTATCTTATTTGCTTGAGGACAAGCAAAAGCTTAAGTTTGTGGGAGTTGATAAGTGGAGATTTTGACTACTTATTAGCGCCTTTTAGCTTCCGTTTTAGTCCAAAAGCATTTAATTGTGTTCCCAAAAACTGATAAAATATGCTTAATTGCAGGAGTATTAGAAAATGAGTCACTAAGATGAAATCCAACTCAAGAAGGAGCAATCTGAACATAAGGACAAAAATAGGCACAGAAGCTCAAAATGCGGACCACAGAATATCATTTGCGGCTGCAGATTGTTAAGAAAAACATATCAGAGGACTGTGAGAAATGCGGTCCGCACATGAAATCTGTGGCCACAAAAGTTAAGCAAGAGAAAAAGTTCAGAGAGTTTGCATATCAAGTTCAAAGGAAGTGCGGACCGCACAATTATTGTGCGGCTCCAGAAGATCAGCTACGTGGCCGCTGTTGCATTTGTGCGATTCGCAGAAGAGCCATGTGCGGTCGCACTCAGAAATGTGCAGACCGCAGAAAAAAAGATACGCAGCCGCGATTTGGAATTGTTTGGCCATAAGATTCAAATCTTGTTAAGCTGAAGCAAAGTGCGGACCGCACATGAAATTGTGCGGCTGCAGAACCTCCGAAAGGGCATTTTTGTCCGAAAATTCTAGCTTTGTATAAATAGAAGAGTTTCACTTTTTTAGGTCAAGTTTTGAATATCAGCAACCACAGTAGACGTTTTTCTTTACCCTCTTTATTAGTTTTTTCCATTTTGAGCTTTGTGAACATAGATTTTATTATTTTGATTATCAATATGAGTTTAATTATTATTTCTTCTTCTATTTCTTCTGTTTTAAGCATGAGTAGCTAGATTCTCACTAGGGTTGTAACCCAACCTTAAAGTGTAAATCTAATTGTTGTTTGATTTATTGCTTGTTTATGATTGAGTATTTATTATTTAGCCTTGTTCTTGCTTTTAATTATAGAATTAATGGTTGCAAACATTAGTTCATGCCTATTTGACTTGGTCTCTACTTGAGAAAGAGAGACTTAGTCTAGGAAAACTTGAATAACAAGAAATTGAGTAATTCAAGAGATTGATAGTCCAAATTAAAGGATTGAACCTACAGATGATAAAACCTGACTTGAGCTTTGTATCAGCCATTTTGCTCAATATCCATTTTGACTTGAGAAAGTCACATTCGGCAAAATACTCTCTTACCGAGAGGTATTGAGTGGGTACTCGAGTGTTGATAGCTATAATACACCCCGACCAATTAAACAAGCTTTAAAGTCTACAACCTGTCAGGCAAACACCCAGGTCAAGGTCGTAGCCCTAGGTCTTTTATCATTTGAAAAACAACAAAAATAATTTCCTAGTTCTAATTCTTAGTTGGTAATCTTAGTTTAACTTAGACATAAAAATAACCCAATTTTGTGAAAGTACGATTTGAGATAATTCAAGCTCATTCACTAAACTATATACTCCTAAGTCCCATTCATAGCTCCTTGTAGAAAATCAACCCCAACCCCTTGTTGGGTATTACTATTGCATCGACCACTTCACAACCTTAAATAGAGGTATGACTTGGACGAGATCACCGGGCTTGACCATCGTGAACACGACCTGTCCTTCGCGAATGCGACGCCCTTGTCGGGAACGTGAAGTCTCCATGGTGAACGCGTGGCACATATTCCCAGCAGCTAAAAATCCTTCTTCGCGAATGCATGCATCCCCCCACATTCGCGAAGAATAACACCATAAGGTATAACCAACTTTAGCAAATCATCCAAACTTGGCCCGAAACCATCCCGAGGACCCCGGGACCCTGTCCAATCACACCAACAAGTCTCAATATCTTATTCAAAGGCTCGAAACACCACGAATAATATCAAAACTACGAATCGACGATCAAAATCCTTCTTTTAACTTTCAAACCTTCAAACATCTCCGAATGTGTCCGAATCACACTTGACATTCTGGATTACCACCAAACTTCACGCACAAGTTACAATCAATAAAATGGACCTTACTAGAGTCCCGAAACACCGCCCGGACCATTCGATACTCAACCCAAATATACACCCAAGTCCGAAATCACCTTACGAATCTATAGGAACCTTCAAATCCCAATTCCGAGGTCGTTTACTCAAATGTGAAATTTTGGTCAACTTTTCCAACTTAAAGCTTCCGAATTGAGAATGATCCTTTCAAATCAACTCCGAACTTCCTGAAAATCAAAACCAACTATGTGTGCAAGTCATAATATATGTAGTAAAGCTACTCAAGGTCTTTAAACTGCCGAACAACATGCTAGAGCTCAAAACGACCGGTCGGTCATTACAATATACCATGAATGAAATTGAAAACGAGATTTGATCCAATATCGAGTAAATAAAACGAATAAGTATAAGATCCGAATATAACCCTAAATAAGAAAAATAGTTCCAAGCTTTTAGGAGTATATCACAACGGCTGAGATAATAATAGTTTGAAAATAAAAGAAACCACGCCACCACAAGACTAAAATGGTTGGTTCACCGCGAATAACTGCAATACTGGAGCTCAAGAATTAGTCATGAGGTCCACTAGTACTCGAATCAATATCTGCAATAAATACATGGAAACAATGAGTATGAAAAGTATTTACTATTAAGTATCATCAGTTGTTTCTAATAAAGTTTAACGAGATTCGTGATACGAAAATAACATATTTATTAAAAAACTTGTAAATATATTATATTAAATAGTAATAACATTACAACCGCATATCACTTTTGCACATGCAAAGCATATTTACTACTATTCCTACTCCTCCGTTTCAATTTAGGTGAATCTATTTCATTTTTGGTCCGTACCAAAAAGAATGACATCTTTTTTTATTTGAAAACAATTTACCTTTATTCAATGATTTATAGCCACATAAAATATATGTGTCTTATTTTACACTACAAATTCAAAAGTTTTCTCTCTTTTCTACGGAGGGAGTACTATTTAGAAGCGAGAGTTAGGGCCTCTTTGTCGTCCTACTTGCTGTTCAAAAGGGTAATTTCGGGAATCCGTTTAAATTGTACATCTCGGAGTGTTGTGCATAAATGTACGCGTTTCAGAATTTACTTTTTGGAGTGACATTTTGCCCTTGGTTTAGCCTTTTATCACTTTAGTTTACCTTTCAGAATTTGTAATATCAACCTCTCTTTTAGGGCCTTCTTGGTAAATCAATGTTTACCCTCCCCAACACCTGTCACCATCTTCATCTTCTCTCTGTCTATCCTTGTTCTCTGTATCATCTTTCCTTTGCTCTAGTAGAAGAATCGTCTTCAACTTCATCCGGTTAATGGTTGGTTTGCCATTAGGTTGTTCTACAATTTTAGTAAATAGACAAAAATTTTGTTGACACATGAAACTGCAAAATCAAACCGTTTGTGTTTCTGCTAATATCTTTTTAAGTGTGGCAAAACAGCTCAACAGGTTAGCCCTATTTTACTGCTCATGTGACATCTTTTCCAGCTTATCAAGTCTGAGATATTAAAATAGCTTTGAAGGGGATCCTCTGAATTAGGGTACTTCTCCAGAGCCCCCAAGAATCGCAGTGGATAAATCAGTGGAATTTTCATATGAAGAACTTGCTAACGAAACCAACAACTTCAGTCTGTTTACTATGCAGAGTTAAGAGGCGAGGTTCGTTGTTATTCTTTTTGATTGAAATGATTAACAATTACTTATTTGGATGCACAGATTGATCATCAGCTTTGTTGGGGCTGCTTTGTTATGTCACTATCTCGTCATTCACATAATCGTCTGGTTCAACAGAATGTCAAATCTACCTAGATGAAATTGTTAACTGCTTGTGCACCTGTGTAGAAATTCTTGGAGCACCAAATTACAAAGGTATTTCACTATTAACAAGTGCAGGAGACTGATAATATTTTCCTCAGCTTTTTGTTACTTGAAATGCAGAATGGCAAACAAACGATCCAACAAGAAGCATTAGGGGCATTGGCTTCTTTAGCCCAATCTGCTAAGGTATTAAATGGTGTATTTATTCCTGACCCGGTGCTATTTCTACTTAATATAATGAATCATTAAGGCTAAATATTATGCATCAGTAGGAGCACTTTGGAACCTACAGTAAATTCTTTGTGAAATTTTTTGAGGAGCTGACATTATTTAGCGTAAAGACTGACAAAAAGCTGCATTTCCTAGAAACAACGTTAAGCTCTTGCCTTTCCTGCTGCAATTTTATAGCTGCATGATGATGCCCAAGCTTTGCAGGTGAATGTCATGTATTTGTTATCTCTTTCGTCTACCTCTTCTTTTTGATTAGAGAATAATGAATTATTTAACCTTCTTGTTTCATTCTATATCATGTAGTACCTTTGGGATATTTATCATATTCACGTGAATGTGTTTGCTATAATCAGCCCAATGAATTTGGTAATCAGTTTTTGAGCTCTTTAACTTTGTGTCAGAGGTTTTCATCTTGGTTACTTGTCAATGGCATGACGTTGTAGGCATAAAAGAGGCAACCAATTATACCAAGTGTGGTAGTAAGAACCTCTCAAATGACTGAATGGGTATTCTTGAAATATGGCATTTCTATGTCCTCTTCCGTTCGAAAAAAATGAATTGACGATTTAACATATTGCATCATAGGAAACTGGTGATTTCTGTCTAAATTTGTTAATTATTTCATTTGGCCCTGCACTATGAAGAATATCTTGGATGAACTCTTAACTCCAACATAAAAAACTGATATACTGTTTCAATATTTGTTTGGGAGAATTTCTTGTTAGGCAACATCAAAATGATAGGACTACTTCTCAAGTCTAAATTTAGTGCATTCTGTAAAAATATCCATGCCAGGCCCATATCTCTGAACATTCTGTGAGTTGAATCATGTATATTGGTTGGTCCTTTGCTACTTCTACAAATCATACCATCCAAGGATGATACCAATTTGTCATGATATCTTCCTTGTACAAAGTGCTTTGAGCTCATCAGTCTAAAAGATTCATCCTTGTATGCATTTACATCGTCAATGTGTTTAATATATGACTCAGTAGTAAAAACTATAAGGGTATCTCAAGCACTGTCAGTGTAAATATATCTATTAGCTTAAATCTGATGCCACAAACTCGCAGGTTTGTAATTCTTCTGTGGATCCCGCAGCATTCCTAGCTGCTATCGAATCAGGAACTGTAAGGGTACAACTTCTCCACATAATTATTTCTATTTTAGTTCATAGACAACATAATACAAAATAGTTCAGCACTATGAATACAAACTACATAACCTCAAATACTGCTTCATTAAGAGTTAACAAGTTCCTTTTGTAATTCATCATCAAGAAAAAGTTTTCTTCTACAGGTTGAAATTGGAAACTATGACTCATTCTATGACGTGAGATTAGTCTTCCATCTTGAGCAGCTATCAAGAATTATTTTACAATGAATACAACTATAATGTGTTGTTGACAAAAATAGTTGACCATCTTACCCTCCCCAGACCCCACTTGTGGGATTATACCGAGTTGTTGTTGTTGTTGACAAAAAACACTTAAGATTTAACTATAGTTTCAACTGTGAAAAAGCTTTGATATTTTGATCAAATTAATTTCAACTAATTCTGCAAATGTGTTCTGTTCTTAATATTTGATGTCAATTTTTTTTAGTATAAACTTTGACAAAAGGTGGCAAGGTCGAAGCCAATGAGGCATTCATCGGTGTACCCTTCTTATGAGAGAAATTTTTTTCCACCTGGAAAGTAGAAGATGCATGATAAGATCCAGAAGAATAGTTGTGAATCTTATTCCCTTTTTTAAGAATATTTGATTTAAATTTCGTTGCTCACCTCTATATGTTCCATTTGATTCGTATGTAAGTTTATCACTTTTAGTAATATGTTCTATCCGACAACTACAGAATACCAATTAAAGTTAAGGAGCTATAATTTCTATTTGATCATATCAGTCTCCTTATTTTAGTTGTTACAAATACAATATTCAGATTATTTATATAGGTTTATTTCAGAGAAAAATGATTCTGCGAGGTAACATGCGAAGTTGCCAAGGTGAATATGCGTACTCGAAAAACGATGAGGATGAAAAGGATGACAGCAATAATTGAATCATCTATTGTGTGCAAGGTATAATTCATGATTCACTTTCATTTGCAATTTACAGTCTTTCTGTGATGAATATTTGTCGTACCTAATTTATCTACATGGCACACTACAACCAGTTGGAGGCCACCTTAGTTGATGCAACAGTAGCAATATGTTTGATAATTTTGGTTCAATGTGATGGGTCTTGAGAAGCTGATTGCAATAGCTAAAGACAATATACGCTTCCTTGGAAATGTGCCGCAACAGAAAAGGCACGAAATTTGCAAGAATCTTAATGTTAAGTTGCATGACCAACTCATTTGAGGCTATGATTGGATCTGTAGATTGAGACATCTAGCTCTTCCGATAGAGGAATCAAATCAAGCACAAGTAGTATCACTAGAAATTTCCGATAAATATCGAGTGGTTTGACTAAGCATATTCAGTACTACTGGAAGACACCTTCAAGAGTACTCTTTCTTTTTGGGAAACAATGGCATTTCTAAACTGCTTCTTTCTGCCTTTTTGTTGGTATTTACTGCAGTAAATATTCAATTTTGGGGTTTTCAGGAGATGGGTGAGAATGTATAATCAGTCAATGTGCTGCTTCTGCCGTCTAATTTTATAAACTAGAAAAAATCATTTTTATCTGAATTTCCTCTTCAAAATGATAAAAGAATTATATTTGGTGAAGTACTTACAAGTGATTAGAGAAGTCTATGACAACTAATGCAATTTTAATTATTCATTATTGATACACTGTCTATAAATTCGCATCCTAGGTTTTTTTTCTTTCAGTTGTTTTGCTATAGGAAATGGCGTAATAGCTGCTTTGGTTTGTTGAGTAAAGCACGAGTAATGAAGCCCCTTAGCCAACCCACATCTACCGCAACGCGCGCGCACGGAAACAAACATAGAGAGAACTTTAGAAAGTTGATTTTTCTTCCTCAATAAGCAAGCAATTGGATGAGTTCTGAATCTTCTGATATCGCTTGCTCTCTTATGTTCCTTCTTTTTTGTGGAAAATTTACCTTTTCTATTCTTACCTTTATCCGACTTGCATCTCACTGGTTACATGTTTCTGTTGTAAAGATCTTATTATTCCCTATCCTTGCAAATGTGTACATAATATGTTTATTTGTTACAAATGGATGGTGAAGCTTAACTCCTTGCCGAAGGACTATTACATGTAACTTTTCTTTAGGATTATCTAATTGTTTACCTGGCATGAAACTGTTTTCTCTTGTAGCTTTCGAATGGAATCTATTATTTTCTCTGTGATTATAATTTTTTTATATGTTCTGCTTTTCCCGAGATTCATGGAGAGTGCAAGTGAAGCAGACTTCAGATAAGCATGTCATTATAACAAGTGAATTTCCGAATACGAGGACTGAAATTCTGTCGTTTATGTTAAAGGTATGTGACTATGATTTTCCAAATAAGCTTCTTCGGATAACATTGCCCTTATCTTAATATTGGCATCTTCTATTGTGGGAACTCATGCGTCAATTATATTTATTTGTTTATTTATATGACTTGTGCTGTACTTTACTGCATGACATTGTCCTTGTCTTTATATATTTGTTTTGCTGCTTTTTATTTTTATTCATACATGCTCTTATCTCATTTTTTTTTTAATCATTTGGCAGTAGATTTTGAAGGAAAAAATGTATACAATGGAGAAACAGTTGGAGGAATTGAGGAAAAAGGTTCGTTATATGGAAGGTGAAAATGGGTCGGAAAGTGAAGCAGGTTTTGAGAAAACTATAGGAGATTTAGGTGGCCATCAAGAAGAAGATTAATTATTGTGAATTGTTTCCTTCTGGCTTCTGTATAGGTTTGTTTTATATTTAGGTGGTAGAATGTAGATCTTATCAGATATTACTACGTCTTGTTGTTTTGTCTTGTTAGCTTTTGATGTGTAGAAGTAGTATAAGTGGCCGGCCTAAGATTTTGTGCAAGCGGGTTCAAACTTAGAAATACATAACTTTAGTCGTAAAATAGTTGTCAAGTGGGTTTAAATAAAATATTTATACAAAATTTACGCAGCTTTAATCATAATTTATATATATTCACAATATTATTTTCTGATGAAGCGGATTCAGTTGAACTCGCTTGCCACCACGTGCGTCCGCCACAGAGCAATATCAATACTAATCATCTGATCCGACTAATAAAATTTGTTGATTTTGATTAATTTTGAGTTACATGTTTTGTTTCATCTTTTCTAAGAAAATATTTTTGGCACTCGATTTGATTGAGATCTCTTCAAAATGCATTTTCAGTTTTATCCAATTTTGTCATTTTTACATGTCCTAAAATAATCCGTATTCAATAATAAATGAGATTTTTTCCTATCTATACCATATATGAAACCTTATTACCAAAAATGTTCATAATTTGTTAATTACTCGCTTAGTCCACATTTTTACTACAATTTATATACCAATCTATAATTAGGTAGATTCTGCCATTTAAAACGCGCTAAAAAGAATGCATGAAATCTGTGTTTGATTCTTTCCACATTAAATTCGAATTTTGAAACGGAAAGAGATCTCATTGCTGCGTAATTCTCTCATTCACTACAATTCTAAAACAACGCAAGCTTCAGAAGCTCCGGTACTCAAATTGCTTTTACAAATTCTACAACACAATACAAATTGTAGAATTCAAAATTGTTCTTCATCGACCTCAGTACTCAAATTGTCGAACCTATATCTGTTGTTCATTTTTTTTCTCTCAACTACACGAAATCATGTCAAAAATTCCAATAATGCTAAAATTGAATGGAAATTGGGATCACTATGACATATTTAGAGATTTTGAAGTTGATGCCATTGTGGTAGATGAGAATGCAAGCTACGAAATTCTGATTTCTACAATTGCAGAACAACTATCGATTGATACATCTGATAAAATTGTTGAAATCAAATACATTGTGAACGACAATTGTCCTCCAATGGAGATTAGGAATGATATGGGGGTTCGTGTGTATATGGAGACCAAAAAGGAGAATAAGAACTTAGGTTCGTATCCTTTATGTATAAGCGTAAGAGATTTCAATATGCAATTGGCAATCACCAACGATAGCACAAGTGCATGTATGTTTAATTCGACATTGCAGAGAGTTATTGTGTTAGTGTGTTATCTACAATATTACAACATTTATCTACTAATTAACTACAAAAAACAATGTACTGAAGCTCATAAAGCAATGTTGTTTT